GGATTTCTCAAACATGCATGAATGAGTCTAAGCAAGGCTTTGGGCATGTTTTTTTATGAGAGCATAACATTATAACATGATATAAAACTCAAAAAAGTTGATTTTACATGATATTGCCTCTAATGTAGTGCACAACAAATTATTCAAACAAAAAAAATAGAATGTTTATAATAGTGCAATTTCTTTAATAAACATGCTTGTACTTAAAGAAATGACACACTGTTTCTATTATGTCCTGGTGTTAAAACAGCACAAACAATTTGCTTTCCCTAAAGGAGGGGCCGGAGTCGCCGGGCTGAAAATGTATCCATTCAAAGTCTAGACCTAAATCCAAGTAAGAATCTGTGGCAAGAACTGAAAAAGTTGCTGAAGTTTGACTGAGCTTGAGATATTTTGCAAAAACAGAACGGGCAAAAGCTTCTACAAATTAAAAGCTTGCAGAAATACACCCCAAAATGCTTGCAGCTGTAAAAGTCCCAGTAAAATACTTTGACGTTTGTGGTTGTAATGGGACAAAATGTGCCAAAGTTCAAAGGGTCGGAGTGACATCTCAGGGCAACATATTCTCATCACAGGACAACACTTTGAATCAGAGGTCAGGGTTTGCAGACTGCTCCTCTTGGATGCGAGCGGTCGGGAACAGATGGCCGACAAAGAGAGCGACACAAGTTCTAAGCCCAATAGTTTACAGGTTATGACAGGACCAGCAGGTTCCCAGGGTGAATGGATAAGTCACTAAGGTTGAGCCTTTTTTAACCTCATTCCCCTCAGTCCCTCATGTGGAATCAAGGCTGCGGCGAGGGGGACAGGTCATGATGCTGTCATGTGACGACCCACAGATCTGAGCCCAAGCGGCTTTCGCCGGATATGATATCAGTTCAGATCTAGGCACTAAGAGGCAGGAGTCAGGTCACAACAGTCACCAAAGCCGATTAGAGTGCCCACGCCACCCACAGCATCTCCTGTGGGATTATTTTTGACTTATTTGGGGCCAATTAGCTGTTAATAATTCCTAAAGTGAGGAGACTTCTAACAGCATTTTGCCGCCCTGGGATGACTAATGAGGGCAGTGAAGTGACCCCTTCAAAGGGAAAGATTGATCAAAGCTTTGCTCTTTTGAAAAAGATGAGGCAAAACAATAAACTTGAACTTGTAATGTATAAAAAAAAGACTTGTCTAGTTTAGTTACCTGAGCCACAGATGTTTGAGGGTTCAACATGAGGTTCTGAAAGGTTCTCTGGAAGACCCATCGGAGCTGGTGGAAGAAGGAGGTGTTGTAGGTGATGGTGCGGGACTTCACTTGGGATATAAAGTCCTTATTCTGCACAATGCGTTTTAACTCGGCTTGTGTGCCTATAAAATAGCTGCTGTTTCTGTACTCTCCCACAAGGTGCTCCTCAATGCTCTGTCTGGTGGTGCCCGGCTCCTCAAAGTCCAAATCTGTCCGTAAAGACCGGAATTAAAAAGAGGTTTTGTTGTTCAAATGCCATGCGACTTGAAAGGAAACAAAATTCCTCTTTCCAGAAGTGTCTCTTAAAAGAAAGAACATTTTACCACATATATATGACAGAAAATTCATTTATTAAGATTTTTTTTTAGTTTGCTTTGCATGGGAACAAGCATTTAAATAAATCACACTGCTTTCAAAAAAACAGATCTTTTAGAGTTTTCGTAATCATACAGCATCATCAGGATACTACCTGCAGCAGTGTGGACTGGTTCAGTGAAGTCTCCATTTAGAACATCAAGAAAGAAGTCAGCTGGGTTGTTGTGAGGCTCACATGGATAGCCTGGAACAGAAATTGCATTTGCCCTCTTTGTTGAGAAAAATTCTAATGGCATACATTCTGGTAGCTTTAAAAAATACTGATTTACAAATGAAAGTAAAATCTAATAGCCTGAAGGGCATTATAAAAATTTAGCATTAATCACCAATGTTGGCAAAGTAGTCCAAAGCATTTGGCGCTGGTCCATGATACACCATTTTGCCATTAACCAGCAGGGTCAGAGTGTCGAACAGTCTGTAGATGGAGTAGCGAGGTTGGTGGATGGACAGGATTATGGTCCTTCCCTGACCAGCCATCCTGAAAACAGACAGTGAAACCAAATAAAGCCATCCAAGGCGCTAACGGGATTCAACAAAGTTTCATCTGTTCATCACCTTTTCAGCAGGAGCAGAACAGAGTTAGCGGTGCTAGCATCCAGGCCTGTGGTTGGCTCGTCCAGAAACAAGACTGCAGGATCAATAATCAGCTCCATACCGATGTTTGTTCTTTTCCTTTCTCCTCCTGAGATCCCCCGGGTCATATGTGTGCCCACCTGGAGGGGGAAAAGCCCACAAAGGATATATAACTCATTTACCTTATTGTGTCACCTGCAAACTCAGGTACTATGGTAGGTGAAGGGTTATGGACGAAGGTGAGGAACCTGTGTACCTTTGAGTCAGCCACTTCAGTGAGACCCAGCTCTTCGATGAGGTGATTAACTCGAGCCTCTTTCTCACTCTGAGGCACAGAACTTGGGAGCCGAAGCGCAGCAGAAAAACTGAGATTCTGCCTCACGGTCAACGTGCCCGTAACCACGTCGTCCTAAAGGAGACAGGAATGACAGCATGGTTTTATGTGATGCAAAACCTGCCATTTTTGTATGAGTCAGCAATTTTCCTGTTTGAAATAACAATAATACACATGCAGTTCACCAAGTGTGCTACACGTGCACACGGAAGCATAAACAGAGCAAAAGCCTTGAGTTTTCGCTCCACCTGGACCACGTAGCCAGAGAGGCATTTGAAGTTTGGAGGCTGAGGGGCTCCATCAATAAGAACTTCCCCTGAGAGACCCATAGGTTCTTTCCTCGCAGCCAAAATATCCAAGAACCTTTGGAAGCACAAAATTAAACACATCTCATTTTCAAAATAAAATAAAATAAAATAAAATAAAATAAAATAAAATCTTTGATGCAGTGCTGCGTGAAAAATTGAAGCTCACAAATATTCTTACAAGATTTTCACCAATGTATAGAGATAAACTCAAGAATGCAGGTCAACATAAGGAGCTCCTATAAGTTACCATGTTTTAGTTTATGTGTATTAAGATATAATACATAAAAAAATAAAATTTTAAAACAAATTGTACTACATATATATGCATTAAAACATGTACACATTTTTGATCTTTTCTTTTCTTTTTTTGTGAAGATCAGATTAAGGTACTTACGAAGATTTTCCACTACCAGTCGGTCCGAGAACAGCGTTCAAACCAGGTTGCATAATCCCACTGCAAAACACAACCATAAGGGTTTGTGTCCAATTATGGAGAAATGGACTCAAAGCCAAATACATTTTGCAACTATTTCCAGATAAATATATTGTGTTTATATTTTACATATTATATAAAGAAGAAATTTTAATGTGATTTTTCCTGCACTTTTACCAAAATGAACACTTTCCTATTCTTAGTAAATACAAATACAGTATGTAATTTAATACAAAACTGCAAACTTAACACACACATATTGGTAAAAGAAAAAAATGTTCAAGTTCTAATTAAATCCTTGATTTTCAAAAACAAACAAAAAAATGCTCAACAATAACAAGAAAACAGAAACAATAGTTACACAAAAGCAGCACAAAGGGCCAGTGATAGAATTTAAAGTAAAAAGTCTCCTGCTGGATTACGTGACTTGGTTTATTTCACTCCCCTTTAGTGCTTTAGAGAGATTATATGCAAGAACCCATGCTTAATATAATATAATTAACAGAGAGGCAGGAAAAGGTCAAAACACTTGTGAATTCATTCATTCTTCCATGGGAAATGTCAGGAGTGTTTAATCCCATCTGAGAGGAACCACAGGACGAGTTCATTCACTGTTGTTCCAGACAGAGGAAACAACAAGCTGCAGCAAACCCTCACTGAAAAACACAGAACTTAAAAAATATATTCAAATACATGCTTAGATTTAGCCCCATATAATTAATTTTGAAAAGTGATTTTAATTTTACTTAAAAACATTTTCTCCACAATGCGTTCTTTTCAATTCTCTTTGAAATCTTTTTTTGAATTGGGTTGATTCCAAAGTTTAATTGAAATTTATCCTTTGATATTTTGCCAACAGAGAGACACACACAGGTAGTTACAGTGTCGCCTGCCTTTCAGGGTGGCAGAAAAAATGTATGTATTTATTTTAGAACTTACTTCAGGTCCAGCAGTATTTCTCTGGAGCTGATTTTCCTGCTGCAGAGTAAACCGCTCTGCAGACGGACTTTGTAATGGATGTTGTGGAAGCTCACAGTGGAACCACAAGTCTGCCTGCTCCAGTCCAAGGTGGTCCGGGTTCTGGACCCGGCCGTCCCGTTGGAGCCGATGTCTTCTATCATGGCGATGTTGATGTGACCGGCCCCCTCCATCAAACCACACGGCTATAGAACCCTGGAAGGGTGTGAGGTAAACAAGTGCTGATTTATTATTGATGCAAAATGAAGGATCCAGAGTTTCTCTGTAAAACAGGAAATAAACGTTTAGCTCAAGTTAGAAGCTGATTTTTAGGAATAATTTTAGATTATTAATCATTTATTTTATTGATCATTTATTTTAGATTCATTTTTTTATTTTAATATTAGTTTAGTATTTTTTATTATTAGTCATATACGTCAATTCAATGCAATAAAGTGTTTTTCATTTTTATTCTTTTTCAGTCTAAAACACAATGGCCAAAAATGCCACTTGAGCAAAGATCAAATTCCTCATATTATTTATCAGTTAAATATTCTTATGTGATTTTTTTTTATAAAGGTTGGTGTTTAAAAAAGATTTAATTCTTAATAATTTTTTAAAAAATCTTTGAAAAGCTGTATTGGTATTAGGATGTCCAGAGTAAAACGGGTTGAGCTGTTAGTTTTTGGAGGTAATTAAAACAATAATGAAACCAGAAGTAAAAAAATACAATTAAAATAAAATTAAAATAAAATAATATTTTTATACATGAAGTGCAACATGCAAAACACTTTGGTATAATTCCTGTAACAGTTTTAACATCATCACACATTAGTGATTATTTAATATTATGAGATTTTAAAGAAATCCTATTATTTCTAAAATATAAACTTTAATTTAAAGGCTTAGGTTTGTTTAAATATTTCATTTTTAATCTCACATTAAAAATGAAGTCGAGATAACACAACTAGCCATCAAGAAAATAAAACTATTAAAATAAGCATAAATCCATTCATTTCCTGAAACAGTGTCTGATAAATACTAAAAATTGGACCAAGAACACTCTTTAACTTCAGCTGGCAAATGCAAAAATAAGTAACATGTTCCTACAAAAATTAGTTTTAAAATTTGTCTGATAACAGAATAAAAAACTAAATGAAAGCATAAAAAATGAAACACTAGCCTCTAAACACATTGTTGCAGGAGGGGTTTAGGTTTATAATTTACAAATGTAACTGGGAAGAAAAATGTTTTTTTATATAATTATGAGGAAACTGAATCCTAAGCTTATTTAAATAAATATTTTCACATGCAACCGTTTTCACTCATAAAAAAATCTACAATTTATAGTGTCAAGGAGATGTGACCTTTCGTTTATGTCTCGTTTCAAAAACAGAACTTATAATTAAAAGTTGGTATATTTAAGGCGTAAAAACCAAATAAAATGCCTTAAATTCTTGGTGATATACAGTATGATTGAGGAAATGTCTTATTTATTCCCGATTAAAATACGCTTTAAGAATGAGATCATGTACTGTATGATATTATGCACAAAAACACAAATAATCAATTACTGTAATTACATAAATGAATTACTACCAAATGACTGCACAGACAATTTTATTTTTTATTGCTGCTGTTTTTTTTTTCCTGTTTAGGTTTAGTTTGATGCACTTTATTAAAGTCATCACGGTAATAATAAAAACAGAAAATATCTTAAAGACACACAGAAGAGACATACTTGTCGTTTTCAGCTTATTATGTGGCTTTTCTTTAATCTAACAGTGACATTCAGATTGAAACAAAAAACATTTTACTCTAACACGTCCAGCAGCATCATTAGTTTGAAATTTGGGAGTTTTTTTTCTTCCAACACTCAGCAAATTAAACAAACAAACCCTGATGTTGCAAAGTAAAGAGAGACTCACCGCTCAACAAAATGACAAAAAGGCAGCTGGAACAGATCTGATGATCGGTGCTGAATCCCACTGGTTGTTGAGGGACAGATAGTTTTAACTGTGACCCCCCCAACAAACTGCACAGAGGAGTAACCCTTTACTGTCCTCTCATGGGGACGTGAACACAAGGCCGGCAGCAGAGTTACGCAGAATTACATTTGGTGATTTTACACTAAAACCTGCCCGATTCAGGATTTACATATGGTTTCTCCACACTAGGAGGGGTTACACTGAAAAAAACTCTGATAAAGAGCAGAGCTCCCTTTAAAGGAATAGTTCAGCCATTCTGTGGGAATATTCTGTTCATTCCTGCCACAATACAACCAAACACTCTTTTGATGACTGAAATAAACTAAAGGACATCAGTGAACACCAATCATAAAATTTACTGGCATTAAATAAAAGTTTAATAAATCTTTATTCAACTTGTTAGTAAGTTAAAGGGATCCATGATTAGTGTAACATTAGACTTTATTTGATAAACATGTATTTTAACTGTAAAATAAAGACTGTAAAAATTCTGTAGGCGGTTTAGTTTTTATAATTTTTAAACTAAAAGTTTAAAAATATATTACACGGACGGGGCCATTTTATTTACACGGAAAGCATTCTGGGTAAATGATGACGTGGATAGGTCATTGGTGCGAGGCTGCTAGCGAGCTAACTCCACCCTGAAGGTTAATCTTGGACAATATCTGACCATCAACTCTTTTTGGTGAAAAATAATTTATTTTTCATTTATTTAATTTGTTAAATAAATGAAAAAAAAATACCATTCTTGTGGTAGCCACGTTGACCCTGATAGATTTTTGTTTTGTTTTTCCTCCCCTGTATGGAGAGAAGAGAGGAGAGTTCTTTGAATAATGGAGACGAGTTCCCGTGCTCCAAAGTTATTTGACTCTGGTTCTCACTGGGAATGTTTTCAGCCCTCATAGCTCACACGTTACAGGGAGTACTAATTGAAGAAGGTTAAAAAAATGATCCTTTTTGTTCGAGCATCACTTTTATGTTTCTCTGTCAGGAGTTAAGTAAGGATTTTTTTGGTAGGTAAATATATGGTTAAGTAGATAGTTTTGTTTGACTATACTTTAAATTAAATAAAACTAGCAACACATTACGTTGTTTTATTTACTTTAAAGAAGTGAAGAGTAGGGAGACCATGTTTTTTTGATACCGAGACCAGACGAGTAGCTCTCGGCAAACTGCCAACTTCAAAAGTAGCTCTTGGTTCAAAAAAGGTTGGGCACCCCTGTGTTAAGTGGTACCTTCATAAAGAATGGAGCATAGAAAGAGGAAGAAGTTCCTCTAGTATTGCGTTTTTAATTTTTTTAGGCACATAAACAACTCTGGTTCAAAAAAAAAATCTCATGAAAGAACAATAATTTTTGCATGACTGCAAATAATGCAACATGGCTGTCAGTGTGCTAAATGTACGTACAAAAACCTAACCAAGGGAAATGTAGTAAACCACATGCACAAAAACAGTTTGACATGTTATTTTTTATTTTAAGTCATTTAAGTCCCAAAAAATAATTAATACAAATAAAATATTTATGTATACATATATATATATAATCACAGTACTAACAGCGTTGAGTCACATCTACAGCTGCAGAGAGAATATTTGCACAGCATTAAAACCAGGTACAAGTACTTGAACGCTGAGTGACAGATACCTTTAGGTTGTGGTAGTAAGCTCTGTTAGGGTAAAAGACAAAAGTCCTTATAATGATAGCAAATCACAGGCTCATCAGATGAGTCAGTCTTATTTACAGGTGAGATTTAGGATTGTTACACAACATGTTTGCAGCTGTCCAGGACAAAACAATGCTGATAAATATGAAGCGATGCATTTGCTTAATACTAAACACAAAGAATAATACAAACTGAACAAGAACTAGACAGTCCGTCTTTAACGTGTCAACTCACAATAAGTCGGCCAAGTTCCATCTTAATTACAGATGCCTGTACAAATTCAGATTGTTTTCTTAAGCAAATATTCACACTGTCATACATGGCTCTTGGCAGAGATTTAGAGTTGCATTGAGTGCTTTGTTCTTCCCAAGAAATACAACAAGGTAGAAATAATTCCAGAATAAATTTGACTTACAAGAAAAAATAATAATAATGCAGCTTTGTACAACACAAGCGCCTAAACTGCGTGTGTCAAACATTCAGATATGTGGGATCATGGATAGATATTAAACAAATATACATAACTGTCAGTATAACACAAATACATAAATACATCTATTTACAAAAACTTACACAATACATTTCTGTACCCTGAACATTTGTTTGTGCCTCAGCAAAAAGCATTTTAGATCAGGTATTGATACACAACCAAAAGCAGTGTTTAAATTGGAAGGAAAAAAAAGATGTTTCAGTCTTTGAAATGTGATTATAATAAAAACATTTAGAGATACTCCAAAGCACTGAAAACCTGACTAAATTCTCCCAGGATTGTAGAAATGGGCAGCCGTCTTTCAGTGGTGGTTTGGTAAATTATCTGAACACACACAAAAAAATAGTATGTAGTATTGTTTAGGTGGAAACTCAGGCAGATATGTTTATAAACACTGGATTTTTTGACACTTTGAAACTAATATAAAGTCTTAAAATCTGTCAGGGACTTTTTTATAAAACATTACCTAATAATTATGCTGTTCTCGTGGCTTAAAAATAATTTAGACATACCAGGATATCTGCAAAGCAACGTGAAGTAGTAAAGTAATCTCCTCTGTTAAGAGAGAACTCTGATTCTTAATCCCATATGAATAATATTCTGGGCCACAAACAGATGTTTAAGTAGAATTTTATTTAACAAATTAAGCCCCGTAAACTGCTATAGCTTTCTTTTTTTAAATAACTGAGCACATTTTAAATATGCATGTCTTGTGTGGTAGCTCTAAAACAAAGTGAGTCAATGGCAAATTGCAGGCTTTTGCTTAATTTCTTTTTAGTCTAATCCCTTATTGATCTGAGGTGGGTGAGCGGTTGTTTAAAGATCAATGTAGTTTTGCAAAATTCCCTCTCACACTCCTGTAAGTGCTTTTGATCATTTTAAGAACAAATGCTATGCCCCTGATAGATAATTTACTCATTTATGTGCTTAAAAATGATTTTGAATTCTCTCCAATGATTATCAAGCATTTCAATTTAAGTGCTGTTTTTTTTCCCTATATTTTAAGCAGGTAGTCACTGTGACAATATGGCCAAACGTAAAACCTTTAGACTTAAAATTGGTGGAGAAATACAAAAACTATTTAACATTTTTCTTTAAATGCAACTTGTCCAAGCTAGTTTTACTTTGGGAGTAAAACATTTCAAATATAGGTACAGTAATTAGCTAAACAAACCTGTCTTCTTTAAATACTTGTCAGCTTTTAGCACCTATGAGCTGCAAGTTGCTGACATGAAAAGCTTACATCAGGAAGATATTGTTGTCTCAGTTTAGTGCACATTATGATTTTACTGCCTCCTACTTCACAGAAGCTGCTCTAAGTAACATGTTATACCCAGTAGGTATCAATGTATGAGCAAACTGCCATCTTTATGTTAATTTAAGGGCACATACTGTATTGCACATGTTATGATTGAGTCCACAGACCTGATCTTTTTATTCCAGTGACCTGCTGACTAGGCCCAGCGGCCACTTGACACAAAACTTCTGCTGAAGGAGAAACTTGTGTCCGAACTCTTGTGTTTTCCCCAAGCACCAAATGGCACCACGATGATTGTGCTGTTGTCCTCAGTACCATAATGAAGAGCCTGAAAGGTAAGAAAACAAAAAAGGTCAAAAGTTTGCTAGAAACCAAATAAAATAGTGTTTTTGTTGTTTGATTGCGGGGGTAAACCCATTCCTTCACACCAAACGGAGTTTCTGTCAGCAAAATTATTTAAATTTTGGTGTGATTTTTATTTCTTTTACCTGGTCAGATATTCTCTGAGCTGCCTCTCTGGGGTCATGGCACTGGTTGATAACATTGCAGATCTCCTGACTATTCATAATAAAGTTAATTCCGTCAGTAGTCAGAGCCAGGAAGGAGTCATGGACATGGTGCAACTGAGACGAGGAAAAGCAACAATTAAACTTCTCAAACACTTTAAAAAGAAGAAGTTTAACAAATAAGTTCATTAAAAAATAAACTTTTTGTGCAAAAGCAACAATTTTTAACTTGGAGGTATTACACAAGGGAAACTGAATTTAATTTGGGTTCAGATTCTAAATAAAAAAAACTTCCTACCGTTATTTTTTTGGTCTCAGGCTCAGCAATGACTCCAGTCTTCTTCAGGTCAAAGTCGCCAATGCTGCGCGTCATCGCCAACCTCCCGTTGACATTGGGCTGTCCCAGACTGTTCCAGGTGATAAAGCCTCCACTTTTCTTTACCCTTAAGAATAACATGAATTGAGGAAAATGACAAAGTTGGATTTTTCAGACAAAAAACAAACAAACAAAAAAACAAAACAAAACAAACAAAAAAAAAAAAAACAATTTGAGCCGAGGCCAGTAACTACTGTAGAAAAAAAATTAATCAACCTATGGTTTCTTCTGACAGAAGCTGTTGAGGAAGTTGTCCATTACTACTGACTAGGGATGGGTACCGAATTCAATACTTTTTAAAGTACCGACTGAATTTTGTCGGTACTACCGAGAACCTATTCACGTAACAAACGGTGCCATGTTTTGGTACCTAAACGCATCAATGCGACCGTATTGTCTTAAGAGCGGTGACTTTTCCATGCTTGTCCTGAACGCAGCATCACGTAAGAGTTAATGACATCAGCAGCCGCTGGTTCAGTAAACAGCTTTGTCTGAACATAGCTTAGTGAGCCTCGCAGCTCCTAAACTCACCGAACAGACCGCCTCTGAATTATCTGGTGGATTAATTATCTTGTGAGCACGACGTTCGCTTGCTCCAAGTAAAGAAAGTATCACCACTTTCTTTATTTCATCCGCCATTAAACAGAGACCGGCAGAGAAAAACAACAAGAGGTGCTTCCTGACAGTCCGAACGCATCGGACCTGAAGGAACACAAGCAGCCAGCGGGAAGTGTTGGACGTGTTTTGGATGCTCAAAATGTAGCTTTAATACATTTTATTTATTTTAACTCAATCCTTTTTTGCTTATTTGATTTAAACTTATTTGCCTTCCATGGACCTCCATCACATTTTTCTAGCTGGGAAATGACATCAATAGAAACACGTGGAGCTSSATTTTAATTTGTGCAATAAGACAAAACAGTCTTGTTGTTTTCAACAGTTTTCACCTTAAAGAAATAAGTTACACAACTGATGTTACAATACAAAGAGTTGGATGTTGTCTTGATATTTGTTAATTTTATATATTGAGAAATATGTTAAAAAATAAAAGTTTATTATAAAAAAAACACACACAAAGTACCAAAAATTGGTACCGTTAAGTACCGGTACCGATTCCCAGGTAGCTGATATGGGTACCGAATCAATTCAATTGCCAAAGATACCCATCCCTACTGCTGACGTCACATAACTCACCTCTCCTTCTCATCCTTCCTCTCAGGAGTGTGGTCGACGGTGAGTTTAAGGGCCTTGCTCTTGCGGCACAGCATGGCACGGCTGTCCCCCACGCTGGCAACCACCAACTCGATGCCGTCCCTCAGCAGGGCCACAGTGGCGGTGGTTCCTGCATTTATCTCCGGTCCTACAAAGACATAGGAGAAACCATCAAACATGGAACAAGTCTTGACGAACCACACAGTCAGCAACCACAGTGTATCTCACAACCTCACATCCACAGAGTAAAACACAAACATATGGGTCGGAAGTCATTGCAGGCTTAGATTACACAATAAACAACAGAGGAGGCTGAAGATGTAGGTGGAACTGTTGATGTACAGAGCTGAGATTCAGAGCAGATCATACAGCAGTTTAATAGGTAAATAAAACAATATCTATGGTAGATATTATCAGCACTTAGAAGTGTCCAGCAGCTGCCTTGAGTGAAAGAAGATGAACTCAAACTCATCTAAAATGTCAGAAAAATCCTTTTTTTGGCCAAAACACATTTAGATTTACAAACAGAAAAATATAATACTCGTTCACAAGAATGTTAAAGTGAATTTATTTGTAACACTAACACTTTATGGCAAACAATAATGAGTCACTGAGGGTGGAAATTAAAGTTTCTTACAAACATTTAAGTCTGGCAAAAATGTTTTAATATTGAGCAGTAAATTGTAGTTACAAAAGGAATAGTTCAGATCATTTGAAGTGGTATTCTGTTAAAAGATTATGAATAAATATCTTACCTGCTGTAGATAGCTCCTGGAATGAACAAAGCCAAGGTCAAATGGATTGCTGCCATCTTAAAAACACCTCCAATCTCAACTAGTGTACCTTTTCTAGCAAACACTTTTTTGACAATTTTAAAACTATTACACCACCATGAATTTCAGATTATATGGTTTTTCCATTAGAAATACTTTATTATTTTTGAAGTGAATACAAACGTGCTGCAGCTAGCTGCTGCTGCTGTTTATTTTTGGAAATAATTATGTAATACTTTATTAATAATTAGGAAATGTGAAATTAGGTAGATAAGTAGTTTCTTTTAATTTCATAGTGAAATTTAAAAAGTCCAGCGGCATAATGACAATAAATAATAGCAGTAAATATACACAATAAACTCAATTTAAGTTATTAAATAACAATAAAAACATTAGGCTCATTAAATAAAGTAAAATACTCAACTGAATATTCAAACTTAAAATAAAAATCACATGAAAATCTTGAAAATTCATCATATCAAAACCATTTCAATGTTATTTTAACTATATTTAAATTTTGATTTTATTGGATTCTTATACAAAATTTTTTGAGAGCACTCAGGTGAAAATCTATCAAATGTTTCAAACTGGAGTCGTTTTAAGGCGGCATCAATTCATTTTGTTCTTGGCATTGCTCAGACTAGCCCTTAAGCTCATTAATCCAGTCAGAATGATACTTTTTAAATGTTTTGTATCAAGCCATCTATAACAAGTAAAATATTGGTCATAACCTTCCCACAGAACCCTTCTTTAAAAGATGTGAACTACCAGTTTAAGACATAACAAATCTGACTGATTGATTCAATAATTGTAGGCCTGCAGGACACAGTTTCCCTATAAAAAAGTAAGTAAAGACTAGCTACAGATGTGAATGTTTCTGTTATAAATCCTGTCCTAAACCTGCCGCATTTGATGAAGATCTGTCACAGACAAGATACTGAATGTCTCATTCACGTCTTCAAACTGAAGCACTGTCTCACAAGAAGCAAACACTTGGTAAGAGAAGAAAGAGAGAGAGGATTGAGAGAAAGAGAACCTTCCAGTAGTCCAGGATTTAGGACCCGCTGGACTCTCCTTCAATATCTAGCCTCTCGTCATCCACATTGGTACCAAGGGGCTCCAGCTCTTAGCTGGGTCAGCAGCTGCCGTAGACAACATGCACACACACACACAGGCATATTGGGACATTTCACACAGCGTGGCCCAAATAAGGCCACATAAAAAGGCATAAATGTTGTTATATTAAACACGTAACCTTAGTCTCAATCTTTAAAAATAAACAACGCTAATCTGAAGGTTATGTAACCTTGAGGTAAACATATCATGTTATTGACTGAAACAGTTCAGTTTGATTTAATCTTTTGTGGAATGCTTAAAGAACCTTTAAAAATATAACTTACTGCGCAAAACTCTACAATAAAAATGAAACAATAAAGCAAATGTTCAATTTCAAATCTACTGTTTAACTAGAAGAACATAATTTAAAAAAAACATCTGGTTCTGATCAGGTCTTAAAAAAAGGCAAATACAACTTCAAACAATACATGGACAAAAACTAAGCCACTATGCTAAAGAATGGAATACATTAGAATAAAACAGCGCTGTGAAAAGTAAGTGCGCCAGATTATTTATTTGCTTTCAGGCAACAAGGGAACAGAAGAAAAACTGAAAGTACGTAGTTCTATTCTGTGACAAAATGTCTGAACTTGACTGATCCACTAAAAAAAAAAAAAACTGAAATCATCTTCTTTGCTAGATTCTGTTAAAATATTTGTGGACGTTTTAGGAATACATGACCCATTACACTACACAACTAGGGTCAAGCTTCAGCTGTAAGCTTCAATACTTGAGTATACAAGAAAAGTCTTAATCAACTCATTGTGACCATGTTCTATGGCTGAAAATCAGCCTAACCCATCAGTTCTCCACCATCAAGTTTAACAGTTGGTATGTGATGGTTATGCTGATATTTGATTTGATAAAAAGCTCAACATTGTGCACTGAACTCTTAATAGTTTGTAATAACCTTTGCAAACCTTTCCAGGTTGATGGGCTTCAATAACTGCTTCACTGAACACCCTGCCTGTTCATGAACTTCTGTATTTATGTGTTCACACGTAATAAATTTAATTTGAAACACTTTGCTGTTACTTACTCTTTAGACTTCTGTAAGATTTGAAGACAAACTTAGTTGTGGTTGCTGCATTTTAGCTGGCCGCTTTTAAGACCTGGTTAAGACCAGATACATTTTTTTATTATGTCCTGAAAGCGACAGGTAACAAATTAAAGACAAACAATTTATTAAAACTGCTTTGGTGTTTGCAGAAATATGTTCTCTAAAAATTACTAAAGTCCTTAAAATATATATAGTGGCCAAGTTAAAAACGTATCCACCCATTCTGTGAAACATTATGATCAGTATTGCATTTATCCATACAAGAACAGAGATTGTTCTTTAACTTGATACCTGTCTGTAAAAATAAATGCCATGCTTCACCTACTGAAATTCTAATGTTTGCTCTACTTGTCTCTGGGTAATATTCATCAGTTATTAACAAACTTTGGAGAAAACGACAGACCTCTAACCAAAATTGCTCAGGTCATATCAGTTGGGAAATCCAAAGCCTCAAAGCCTAAGTAAGATAAGTATATTATGTTTAAAGACTGAAGTCAAAAGCGTAATTACATATATAGACAGATATATGTGTGTCTATATTTAAAGTACAATTATTTAGAAAGTATTGCATGACAGAACCTACCATTTGGACAGAAGTGTAAGTGTCTGGCAAAAGCTTTGTCTACTTCAAGGAAAGCTTTTGTTAAAACTTTTTCCAGGTTGTCTTCGTCTGCCGCATAGTCCCTGAAACAAGATCAGAAGGAAAATCTGCTGAAAGGCGTGACATTTGGCTTACAAATTAAAACAGTTTATCATAACAACAGATATAAATGCATTAATCTTTCCTTACTTGATAAACTTCTCCATGTATTTTTCGCAGAAATCAGCAGCTTCTGGTCCGCCATGTCCGTCAAACACAGCAAAGTAGAGGATGTTGTCAGTCATTTGGGAGACCTGGAAGCGGTCTTCATTCTCCTTGCGCTGACCAATAAGGGAAGCACAGCCTACCTTTGATAAGCTGACTTTAGGAATAGGCTTGCCATAACGAATGCTGGGAGGAAGCAGGATGGGCTCGTCGATACGATCATCCCAGATGCCGAATGAATCCCATGTAGTGAGGCGGCCGCTGCTATCTGGGTCAAAGCGTGTGTTGCTGTATCGTATTCCTGAGGGTCCATTAAGTTGTCTGCAGAAGGTTGGGAACTCTTTCTTGTAGCGGTCGTGCTGAAAAGGCAGTGGAACAAGACTCTTCTGTAACAATCCCACATGAGGGCCACTGCACCTCACCAGGCGCACGAGACAGGCTGCTGACATCCCCTCAACAGAACAACCACAGGGGATGGACTCGTAGAGGCAGAGCGATGTGCTGCCCAAACACTACAGAAAAATAGATTAGTTAGACTGGTGACGAAATGTTATTCAATGCAACACAAATATTTATTTTTCTTCAAAATTGACCTGAGATGTGGCAGAGGCAACCAGTTGTGCTTATTATTTACATTTAGCTAATATTTTTGCTCAAAGCCAATTACAGGAGCACAGCAACATTCATGTTCCTGTGAAATAAAATAAATACATAAAAAAGCAATTGTTGCAGAATATTTTGAGTAAAATAAATAAAATCCATAAATGAACATTTAGAAAAACAAATTAAATTAATCCTATATTCATCAATTTGTTTATTTTTAACATTTTAACATTTTGGCCTCACATGCAATCTTTTTTACACTGTTTTGTAATAACAGCAAGAAAAACTTAGATGAATTTTTAAAAATGATAGGTAATCTTTTAGAAGAATCGAATATCAAATGTATGATGATCTCATACATAATTTACTTGTTTTCACGAGTAAAAACACTATTTTTGCTTTAAGAATAGAGTTGAAGATATCAACGCTTGCAAGATTAATGATTAGTCTTTCATATTAATAAAAAAAAAAGTTAGGTCCCGGATGATGCAACAACTGTCATCAAGCTAGCTGCTATGTTTAGCTGTTTCCTGCAAAAAATGCAACGATGGTTTCTAGTTTTACGAAGTAAACATCATTTCTTAAAATAAATTTCGGTTTATATAGTTATAAAACATCACTCAACTAACCATATTATAAATAATTTTGTCTATTTTACCTGTTAGCTATGTTTAGCTTGCTAGCTAAGTAGTTAGCTTCAGCTATGCATTCGCAGTTTGTCCAGCACTATCAATAAACACCTCTCGACTCTTCAGCTGTATGTAGAAAGTCATACCTTGTATATTTAAACCTTAGAATTGGTCTGAAATCCTTTCCCGACCTCTCAAACAGTGACTTCCGAAGAACTGAATGAAAACCACCGCCCTCGTCTCCGCGTCTGAAATCCGACTCCGTAATGTTATCAAACAAGGCCAATAATGTTGCCGCACCAATCAGCGATCGACTCGTTTCACGCCCCACATGCAGTGAATGTAATTGGTCAAGAAAATAATGATTGACACGTGAATCCACAAATCATTCAAAGGCATCTCAGACAGGTAGGAAAATGGAGCAACAGAGGAAGCCTTGTCTTGAACAAACACGTGTGTTTATGTAAACGCACACAAAAATATATGTAATTTTCTGAGCTTTTTTTAAACTTTCCCAACTTGTGTTTTTGTTTAATGTCTAATGGTTCAATCCCTGTACATTTCCTCTACCATTAGACATACTTTGGGTAATTTGAAGCTTAAATATTTACCTGAGCAGTGCCCTTGACTGACTGAATTGAATGTTTCTGGGAAATTAATGCAGCCCTGTTACTATATAAGCATTTCATACAGCAGAACTTTATTTTAGTTTTAATCTCTTTTTTTCTTAACTACTACGTATTTTAAAATGTAGGTAGTTTAACTAACATAAAGGTTTATGTTCATTTGTTTCTGTTCAGTGTTTTTGTTCTTATTGAACAATTCTAAGTAAGAGAACTTAATCATATTCAGTTTCTGATAAACTACTTTCTTTTGTTGTATATTGTAATAAGTAGTTTGATCATTTGGACTCAGTTCATACACACGTCTGTTGTAGTCTTACTAACATTTTTTAAACAGTGAAAATCTCTCTCACAACATGCTTAACCTTGAGTTTCTAAGAACTAAAACAAACACCAGAGTTAAACCCAGTAACTAGCACGGGATGAACTTTTAAGCTGTGGCAGCAAAATAAGGACAGAGTGTCACAAAGAGTGTCCAGAAAAACTACACTGTTTAAAAAATAGTTGAAGATAAAATTCTTAATTACTTGAGACTATTTTTTTTATTTGTTATATTTCATGGATAATGCAATAAAATGTTACATGCATGAAGCAACACTTCTCATTCTAAAAACAACATATTCATAGTAAAGCACATTGGTGGCAGTATCATGCTGTGGTAATGTTTTTGTTTTCTCCAGTTCAGTGTCTCAGAAAACTGAAACTGGAATGTAGTGTCACTTTTGTGCTTTTCCAAGCCCAAACATCATGTTATAGGAGCACCTATAAGTTATAAGGAAATTATATATATATACAGTATATTGAAAGACCCAAGTATATCAAAGCCCAGGCAATCATGATCTAACACAGAAGTGGCAAAAACACTGTTTATTTTCAGACACTGATCTAAAATTAGGTGTGGTACTAACTGAGAGTCAAGTCCAACACATACTCTGAGCCAGATATCTTGCAGCTTCGCATTATATTGTGCATAACCTTATTTTCAACATTGACCAAAATGACTATTTCTCCATAATTTCTGTTTTTTTTTCTGATTCTGATTTTTTATTTAAGATGATCCTTGTCTAAATTTTTTTGCAGTTGGCATTATGAATTCCTTCTAGAAATGCTAGGTCTTTAATTTAGTTTATGTTATCAAAGATTTTTAAAAGCATCTTATTAATTATTATTTTAAGTCAACAGCAACAATCTAAAATTGCAACCCTGTTTATATACTATCTATTAGCATTTGTGGTTACATTTATATTCCCATTGTTTGAAAGAAATATGACAAAAATAGTTCAGTGGCAAGTTTTCCTCTTGTTTTCAGGTCACAGGATCCTGATGCTGCCCAGGCATTTCGTGCACTTCAAACACCTTGGACTTCAACAAGTTTAACAGATACGTGATAGGACCTGAAATAATCAAGCATTAAAAAAATCTCGCAGCTTGTTCAGTTCATGTAAAGACAAAGCATTCACATAAAACATCTGACCATTACTGTGTTTTTTTTCTCGATGCGCAGAACCGCTATTCCTGCTTTGCGCGCGCCCCCGAGAGAGGGGCCTCAAATTATTTCAGGGGATACTTATCTTGACACAACACCGGCAGCGGCGATAAGAAGAAGCTGACACTTCCTTGTTTGCATTCTGAGCTGCGAAACCTGAACGCCCTTATTCAAGATGCATTCTCCAAGGTAAATACGCTGTTATTCGTTTTTATTAAAAGGAACAATCTTTGTGAGGTATCCGTATATCTAACAATCACTGTGACCAGAGCAAATCTGCTGGCTCTTATATTCATTGAGATGCTTTAGCTACCTAGCTCTGCCTAGCTTGTGTGTTGTTTTGGTTCCGTTACTAAGCTAGCTCAGGGAAACACCAGAGGGGGCAGTTAGATGTGTCAAAACTGAGCATATTATGATACTCGTCCTAAATACATGGATAAAGCGTTTGTCGTTCAAATAGGAAAACTGAGCTAAACAGCAACTAGCAGCAGTGCGCGACGATTCACAAAGGTAATCCGCAGGTCATAAACAAACTAAACAGGTTTGAAGCATCATCACGAAGGACTGAGGTTACAAAATCTTGTGACTTTGGAGGCTTTAAGTTCTCGTGACTTGTTGTTTTTGTATTAGCAATGCTGGCTCTGTTAATATATATTATTTATGTTGTTTTCCGGATTAAATTAAAGCTCTGTTTTGCTGAAACAAGGCGTTAACTTATTGATGTTGTAATGCTAATTAAATCGCTGTTTCCTTTCTTGACTAGTTGTAGGCCTTAATTCCCATACTGGCTTATTTTTATTTTGTATTTTTTTAGGTTATTTTATTGTGTGATCTAACCAACAGAGCCCAATTGAATAATTTACATTAGATGGGTATTATAAAGCTTATTTCAAATAATATTTTGTTGAAATTGAGACAGTTTCCAGCACATTATAGAATTGACAAGTTTGAATTGTGAGATTAAATATTAAAGTTGTTTACACTAAAATAACAGCAACATTAATTGAATGTATTTGTGTGACAAAGTAATTTACGGAGACATTTTTTTTTGTTTTTCTTTTAACATTCTGCTTTAAATTTCATATAAGTGCTTTTCTCTTGTACAAATCAAACAAATGGCTTACTCGTCATGATTGTCAGGACTTTCATAGATTAGCACGTGTTTCTTATGATGCTGATGAAAGTTGTGCTGTTTTTTTTTTTTGTGTCTTTCAGGGTTGGACTTTACACAAAGAGGAGAAAGCGGAGCTGCTCTACGGCTTGAAAGTTCTTCTCTTTCTCCATCTGGCTATCGCTCTCTCCTTCTCCTCCTCTTCCTTAGTTTGCTGCTCATTTCCTCTCCTCCCACCACCATGCTGTGTTGGGGGAATGCCAGGGACGGACAGTTGGGGATTGGCGTGGAGAGGAACCCCGTGTTTGAGCCGAGGAGCTGCCATGTGTTCAGTGGGCGTGGGCTGAAGGAGGTTGTGTGTGGCGGGCAGCACACGCTCTTCTTGCTGCATGATGGGAGCGTGTATACGTGTGGCTCTAACAGCTGTGGACAGCTGGGCCGCAACAGGGATGAGACTTCCCCAGGTAAGCACTGAGTGTCAACAGTGGATACCAGCAACATCAGGTTCGTAGTTTTATGTTGGATCGTCCTGCTGGACTGCTCTGTTGTAATTTGATTTAATTTTCATGGTGATCTGTTGCAATTTATTTATTTTTGTTACTATTATAAAATATAAAGATTTGACCAAAACATCTACCTTTCTCATTTTAAGATCATTTTAGTTTAAATTTCTGGCATGAATCGTATGCATTCTTTCAAGGATTGCTGGGCCTTTTAGTAATCACGTTTTGTTGACAAAGACAACATTACTGATGTATCTGGCTAATTTCTTTAAGCCTCCTTTGTGGTTAAAATAGGCCCAACAAACACACTGAAGCTCGTTTGACTCTATAGAGTGTACACAGTGTTTCTGAAGGTGAGATGAAAAGCTTTTTGCAGGTCCAAGCAAGTCTGGTTACAAGTAGTATCTTTAACTGTGCTTTATAGTCTGGATTACAGAAGATCTGCAGCTCGTAGTTACATGAATATGACACAATCCTAGTCCTGGTTTTGGTAGAAAGCTCTGGTTTGTGTTGTTATGATATGTGTGGGTTGTGTCATTGTTCAGACATGTGGGTGAGCCTGCTGTAACAATAAGTACAACACAGAAATCTTTGGAACTTTCTTTTAAGATGTTTTGCAAAGTAAACCCTAAAAGAAAAGCCTTGGAGACGAGATAATATGATAATTATTTTATAAGCATTTGGTTTGTTAACCTCTTTATAATACTTAGCTTTTTCTTATTTAAAAAAGCTTCATATTTAGGTGAAAAAAATTCCTTTTTAATCCATTTTTAATTGAGCTGTACAGAAAAATATCAATATATATCTTGTTACTTGTACCATAAGGATTTTATAGTTAATTTTCTTCTTTAAACTTCCACATTAGAAAATTATTGCATGAGCTGTTTTTAATTATTTGTTCTGCGTGTACACCTTGTGCTTTCTCTTTCATTTCTCAGTGCAGATTTAAACAAATGTATGTCCAAAGTGTTTTAACTTATAATCTGTTATTTCTTAGTCCTTTGGTTTGGAGTGGAAAAACATTTTTGCTAAATTCCTCACATAGGTTGGGTGTTTGTGGGCGTTCTGACTGGCTCTATTTGAACAAGACAGGGAATGTCACTGATGTGACGTTTGAATTTTGGAGCCGTAAAGATAAAATATTGTTTTGTTTTCGAATGAGAATTGTCGACCCAAATAATTATTTTTGAATCAAACAAAAGTGAACTTGGGGAAAAAAAACGAGTGAGTTTTAAATAAGCTTTTTTTTTTCTTTTTGCCTGAGTGTGTGATTATTTCCTGTCTCCTCGCAGAGCTGGTGGTGGCTCTGGATACCCAGAAGATCACGATGGTTTCGTGCGGCCGAGCCCATTCGATGGCGATAAATGAGCAGGGTCAGGTGTTTGCGTGGGGGGCTTGTGAAGGGGGACAGCTGGGCCTGGAAACTGTGGAGATTGCTGTTCGGATTCCAAGGTGACTGTTTAGTTCTCCGTTATAGAATTAAACATTTTGCCAGGCATGACAAAAATTGGTCAAAATTGCTTTTAAATGTGTTGTATTGACTTATCCGTTTGATGAATTAAGAACTTTAATCAAAAAGTTATAAATTTGTTATAAAAGCTGTTTTTTTTTCTGTTTTCTTCAGGTTGGTGAAAAGACTGTGTGATCACAGCATCTCCCAAGTGATGTGTGGGAACCAGCACTGCATGGCACTTTCTAGAGGTGTGAAAAATACAATCTCTCTTAGAACACAGCTGCACTGTTCATATAAAGGATCTCAAAATATATCGCCTGTTCTATTTGTGTCTATATCAAATTAAAATTTCTGGAACCAAATAGATATCTAAATCCACTTTGCTTTGAAAAGTACTTCACAAGTTTCACTCTTATTTTTATCTCCTACCACCGTGAAAGGCATAATGACATAATGTAGCTGCTCATGTGTGCACTTGTGTGTGCGTATGTGTTCATCCATGAACCAGTGGTTCATACACTTCTATTCAACCCAACTTAAGATGACTGCCCAGCTAATCTACCTTTGCAAACACAAAAAGTGGAGTCAGTTTTACAGATATGAACTATTTTTTTTTACAAATTTAAACCAGGACCATTTTACTTGTTTCTTACTTCAGAAGGGACATCCTCGTCGTCATTTCTAGATTAGTGCATCCTGTTTGTGTGTGTTCTCTCTCAGACGGCCAGCTGTTCACATGGGGCCAGAACACCAACGGGCAGCTGGGCCTGGGGAAAGGAGAGCCCAGCAAGCTGTCTCCTCATCCTCTGAAGTCTCTGGCAGGGATTCCTTTGGCCCAGATAACTGCTGGAGGAGACCACAGCTTTGCCCTGTCCTTGTCCGGAGCCGTGTTTGGTTGGGGCAAAAACAGAGCGGGACAACTGGGTCTTAATGATAAACAAGGTGATGGCAGTCAGCTGGTTAGAAATCGTGCACCACGTTTTTTAAAAAGAGATAAAATATCTCAAGCTGGAAGGAGCAGTGTTTTTTTTTTTTGTTTGTTTTGTAGCAGTATGTCTGCTAACATATGATAAACTGTTAATAACTGTTTCTGCCTGCTTTGTGCGATTTTAGGCGTTCGTATATCAAAATATTTAACTCGTTCAGGAAGTGGGTGCTGTGACTTTTGTCACTTTTTTATACTTTTCAAATAATTTTAAATTTGTTTCCAAATTTTTCCCACACACGTTGAGTTCTCTTCAATTCCTTTTTAAAAAACATTTTTCTCTTTTAAATCTACTTCAGCCAATTTGCTGTAATTTAGTATTTTTACGCTGTTTTTAGTTTTTAGCTACTGTTCTGCTACTTATAACTTTGAGCACTTTCTGTAAATACAGTGGTTTGCAAAAGTATTCATACCCCTTGAACTTTTCCATATTTTGTCACATTACAACCACAAACATAAATATATTTCACTGGAATTTAATGTGAAAGAYCAACACAAAGTGGTATACAATTGTGAAGTGGAAGCAAAATTTTACATGAATCAAAACATTTTTACAAATAAAAAACTGAAAAGTGCGACGTGCAAAAGTATTCAGTCCCCTTTTCCCTGAGTGCAACCAATTGCATTCAGAAGTTGCCTGATGACTGCTAATGACTCAAAAGGGTCCACCTGTGTGTAATCTAATCTCAGTACAAATACAGCTGCTCCGTGACGGCCTCAGATGTTGGTTAAGAGAATATTGGGGAGCAAACAGCATCATGAAGTCCAAAGAACACACCAGACAGGTTAGGAATATGGTTTTGGAGAAGTTTAAAGCAGGCTTAGGTTATAAAAAGATTTCCCAAGCTTTGAACATCTCACGGAGCACTGTTCAATCCATCATCCGGAAATGGAAAGAGTATGGCACCACAGTAAACCTGCCAAGACAAGGCCGTCCACCTAAACTTACAGGCCGAACAAGGAGATCACTGATCAGAGAGGCAGCCAAGAGGCCCATGGTGACTCTGGATGAAATGCAGAGAGCCACAGCTCAGGTGGGGGAAACTGTCCACAGGACAACAATTAGTCGTGCACTACACAAATGTGGTCTTTATGGAAGAGTGGCAAGGAGAAAGCCATTGTTAAAAGAAAACCATAAGAAGTCCCGTTTGCAGTTTGCCAGAAGCCATGTTGAGGACACAGCAAACATGTGGAAGAAGGTGCTTTGGTCAGACGAGACCAAAATTGAACTTTTTGGCCACAATGCAAAACGCTATGTGTGGCGGAGAAAGAACACTGCACATCACTCTGAAAACACCATCCCCACTGTCAAATATGGTGGTGGCAGCATCATGCTCTGGGGGTGCTTCTCTTCAGCAGGGACCGGGAAGTTGGTCAAAGTTGATGGGAAGATGGATGGAGCCAAATACAGGGCAATCTTGGAAGAAAACCTGTTGGAGTCAGCAAAAGATTTGAGACTGGGGCGGAGGTTCACCTTCCAGCAGGACAACGACCCTAAACATAAAGCCAAAGCTACAATGGAGTGGTTTAAAAAAAAGAATATTCATGTGTTAGAATGGCCCAGTCAAAGTCCAGACCTAAACCCAATTGAGAATTTGTGGCAAGATCTCAAAACTGCTGTTCACAAACGCTCTCCATCCAATCTGACTGAGCTTGAGCTGTTTTGCAAGGAGGAATGGGCAAGAATTGCAGTCACTAGATGTGCAAAGCTGGTGGAGACATACCCTAAAAGACTTGCAGCTGTAATTGCAGCAAAAGGTGGCTCCACAAAGTATTGACTCAGGGGGGCTGAATAATTTTGCACATCGCACTTTTCAGTTTTTTATTTGTAAAAAATGTTTTGATTCATGTAAAATTTTGCTTCCACTTCACAATTGTATACCACTTTGTGTTGGTCTTTCACATTAAATTCCAGTGAAATATATTTATGTTTGTGGTTGTAATGTGACAAAATATGGAAAAGTTCAAGGGGTATGAATACTTTTGCAAACCACTGTACATCAGACTACTGGAAGTGTGGGAGTGTGACCTGACCCACCCACTTTGGATGTTATCCTAATGGATATTATTTGCCGTTATCGGTCCCATAGAATGACTTCAGACTGTCAGCTGGTTAGTATGAGGCATAAAGCCACTAAAGTTAATTTTAGAGAAAATGACATGGGCTACGATAAATTAGACCAGACTCCGGCTGTAGCAAATTGTTGCATTCCAATGTATATGGCACTGGTAACCCACTAGGGGACACTGTCGGGACAGTCTGAAGCCATTCTATGGGACCGATAACTGCTAAAAACATCCATTTAATGGACTGATAACATCCGAACCGGCTGCCTGACCCGCCTGTTTTTGTTTTCAGATCGAGCCGTTCCGTGTCACATCAAGTTTTTGAGGTCTCAGAAAGTCGTTTACATCAGCTGTGGAGACGAGCATACAGCAGCCCTCACAAAGGTAGAAACAGTACTTTATACTGAGGGATTTATTTTCCTCTTTTATCTTTGCTTGAAATTTTGTGCCAAAACAAAACAATGGCTAAAATAGTTGTTAGCTTGCAGAGTTGTTGGAACGCTCTTAATTGAGCAATGGGTGCATATTCATCTCAGTCGATCTCCTGCTTAAGTTTCTGTCTGATGCTGGGTTGCTTTTGTGGCAGGATGGAGGATTGTTTACGTTTGGTGATGGGTCGTGGGGCCAGCTGGGTCACGGCTCGACCAACAACGAACTTTTACCGAGACGGGTGCTGGAACTGATGGGCACTGAGGTGTCTCAAATCACCTGTGGCAGGTAGCATCTGTTCCCAAACTACATAACCAGTGATAATCTGTTGAACGTGAATAAACCCAGAGTAAATCATGTTCTTGTTCCTACCGCTCTCAAAATAATTATAAGATGTACAGTAAACTCACATAGGAGTTATTTGCAGCCATGTTTTTTTAAAATTACCAATGTTTGACATAAAAACTGGTAACTCTGAAGAGTTTTTGTCTTTCTCTGCGTGATGAAACTCGGTTTTCTCTTGCTGCCAGGCACCACACGTTGGCGTTAGTGCCATCCTCCAGCATGGTGTATGCGTTTGGTTGTAACAGTCACGGCCAACTGGGTACGGGCCTGCTGGGAGACTCAAGAAGCCCATTTCCTATCAAAACAAATTTCCTAACTGGGAATATGCAAAGAGGTGAGCAGAAGATCAGTCTTTCTCTGTCACCTTGATGCTTCAATTAGGGCTTTATAAAGAAGGCTGCAGGTTGTAGACAAAACAACCTGCTTTAAAATCTGATCTGATAAATGGTTACAACACAGACTGGTTTTTATTTATAAGATGGATCAGAAATAAAGTGTTTATTTTATTGTAAAACCTCTTCAGATGAGCTTTTAGGACTTTAGGTTTGACTCATTGTTTTCTTTACTTTTGTCAGACTCAAAGCGATATGCAGTGATTAAAATCGTCTGTGGAGGAGACCACAGTTTCTTATTGTACTCCAACGACCAGGTACGGGATTTAAGCTTTTAACATGTTTCACGTGAAATGATTTCTTGTATCGATCTTCTCTGTGATCACGCTTTTTTGTTGGCCACCACATTTAAAAAAAATTAAATAAAAATCAAAACGCTGCATTCATTAATTTGCACACTTTTAATGTGCAGCTTAAACTTTATTGCATTCCAATTGTAAATGTTTTCAACATTTAGTAAGAAAAGCTATAAAATTTCAGATGGTACAGTCTGATTTTCTGTTGGAAACATTCATCAAGGTTTCTGCAGGTCATTAAAAGGCATAAAATTTGATTCACTGGTTTCCGCATAAACACTCTATACGCTCACGCTTGTAATGTTCTTTAATTATTTTATTTATTTTTTATTATTGTCTGCACTTTTTTCTCTTTAAAGAAATAATTTTAGCTGCTGTGCATTTTTACAGATCCAAAAAATTTGATCTGACCAAGTTTGGCCCCAAAAGGTTTCGTGTTTCACCACCAGGTGGCGCTCATGTCTGAGCTTTGACCCATCCATGTGGAAGAACTCAAGCCCTTGTTAAGCTCAAACTTAAAATATTTAATCCGTATTGTTAATTTTTAAAGACCTAAAAACCACACACCACTTAGCACAATGTTTAGACCTCAGCTGTAGCTTATTTATTTCTCTAAAGAAAATAGATGACTGACCAGCTTCACACACGTTGGTGGTTTCTGTGTTAATAGTCCTGTGTGTTTGTGACAGTACCTCCGTTTGTCTCTGCAGACTTCAGCGGCCCAAGAGGACTTCAGAGTGGTTAATATTAATAAAAGTCTCTCCCCAATCAGCTATGAAAGGTTAAACTCGTGGAGGTTAAAGCTGATGTACAACACAGACTCGAGTGTTGCAAAGTAAGCCAGAATTTCTCTAAAATTAAATTCAATCCAGTGTTTTTTGCTTGACACAAAACACTTATAATGCACTTTGACTTTTTTTTTATTAACTTGATGTGTTTTCTGTTGTTGCCTTCAGTGATATTGTAAGTCAACTCTCCTCCACGGCTTGTTGGAACGCCAGCTTCTTGGACCAAAGGTACTTTTTTGTATTTATAGTGTCACTGTGGTTAGTAATTGTTTGAAACCGCATTTTTTTTGTTGCAATTTTTTTTGTTATTGGAAAGTAAGCACAGTTATTACATAATTTCACTAAACAAAATGTTTGACAGAAAACTCCGCCCTTAAAGCACCTTTTGCTTCTAGTATTTTAGAACTTTTATTTAGATATTTTGAAGTTGGTCTTATTGAGTTGTTGTTTTTTTATATACCCGTGTAGCAAAATATATTTGCAACCTAAAAAAACATGAGCACAACATTTTAGAAAATGATGTGCATGTGTACAGATGCATAGCATTTTTTCTTTTAGAAGCCAGAGCGATTTAGATAATTTATAACATTTTACTGTGCAGATAAATTGAGTTGAAATTCTTTTAACTCGGAACAAAAAATGTTACTTTAATATATATAAAAAAAAATCCTGATCATTTTACTGAAATAAAAGCAGCCCCCTTTATAAAAAGCAGGAAGTTTTTATTATTTTGTCAGCCAAATAAAAAGACATGTTCTTCATTTTGCATGACTAGAAGTCATTGGGTTCATTATTCAAGTTAATCTTTTCAGGTGAAAGCAAAACACCTGAGATGTGATTTCTCAAAATGTTCCTTTACTCTTATTCAGCAAAACACACACATAGCTGTCTGGTATGGAAAAGATTTTATCTTTTTAGTAATGAAAGACCTACGTAATATAATAAATATATATTTTACCTACGTAAAACTCACAGTTCTTTTAGGTGAACCCATCAGCAGATACTTATCACATCCTGGGAATGAACTTCATGAGTCAACAGGATTAAAAGCAGAGCTCTGCAATCATCTAAAGTAAAACAAACAAAAAACAACATACACTCTGCTGAAACTCAATGGGAATTATTAAGAGGTTAGGTTTCATAAAACACAATGAAAGCAATTAAAAAATCTAACTAAACTGTAAACGGCATCAGTCTGTCCCTTTTGAGGCCTGGTTCTGGTTGTGTCAATCAGGTGGTGTTTACTGCCTCAGCCTTCAAAGCTGAATCAAAGATGCTTAAACCTAGGGCTGGGCGATAAATTGATTTTATCGATTCAATCGAATTTGCTGTGTATAACAATTTAATTTTGGGGAAATCTGTGCACTCTTTGGGGCTACCATAGTTCAGAGGTCTGTAGTTAGGTTTCACCCCGCCTGTCCCGTCCCTCAAGACGCAGACAATATGGAAGCTAGCAAAGAGGAACTACTTCCCAAAAAAGGCACCGTGTCTTCAGTTATCTGGAACTGGTTCGGTTTCACAACTGCGGACTCGGAGCAACAAACAGCTCGCTGCAAAATCTGTTTGAAGGCTGTTGCTACCAAAAGCGGGGAGTACGACAAACTTGTTCCAACACCTGAAACAGAGGCACTCTGTGGAGTGGGAGAAATGCTGCTCTTTACGACAAACTCAAGCTAGCAGCAGCCCCAAAAGCACCGCCAAAAGACAAGCTACCTTAGGGGAATCCTTTTCAAACTGCGTTCCCTACTAAAAGACGAGTGCCCAGTGGAAAGCCATCACAGATGCCGTCACGTTTTACATCCCAAAAGATATGGTGCCTATTTATACAGTGGAAAAACCCGGCTTTATTCAGCTGCTGAAAACTTTGGACGCCAGGTATGTGCTACCTAACCGCAAATATTTTGCCGAAGTTTCCTTGCCACACCTTTACAACAAACAACATGCGTGAAAAGATATCGAACGTGCTGGAGGATGTGCGTTTTTTTTCTGCAATAACGGACTTATGGTCCAGTTGAACAATGGAGCCGAATATGAGTTTTATTAATTTTTTTAGGCCATATCGCCCAGCCCAACTTAAACCTCTGTTAATGTTGTACTCAGAAACATGACAACATCTGCCTCAGGTTCAGTGAACCTGACTCCCAGACGACCCAGGGCATGACAGGGCGGGCCACATTCTTTTTATATAATAACATAATATTTATATATAATATTTTGCACAGATCTGACCCTATATGAGTTCTCTGTCTGAGGTCACAGGCATGTCAGGAATGTTTTTTGTTTTGTTTTTTTTTTTCTCAGTGATGACACTCATTTCAAAACCAACCCAAAAATCCCAGGCATCGATCTGAACTCTGTCAGAATCCTGTTTGAGGCTCTCAGCAAACCGGCCTTTTCTGGACTCCTGGAGCAGGTATGTCTTTGTGTTTTTCACTCTCTGACTTAAAGCTTAAAGCTTCCATTAAGCTTTTCTTTGCCACTGAGCCATGCTGTTTAATTAAAGCAAGACAGCAATGCAGGAAGAAATCCTATTTTTGAAAATCAAAGGAATTTTAAAGACCTAGCACTTCTTGAAAAGAATCACCCGCCAGAGATTCACACTAAAATCATCTTATGTTTAAAAAATGTTCAAGTCTCATACGACGTTGCGAGAAGTCACGCTCAAAGTACCTTATGTGTTGTGAACGACTCTGTCACTATATCAGTTCTGAGGTTTGACCATTTTTGGGCAGGCTGCGGTCACTTAGTTGTAGCGACCATCTCGATGGGTAATGAGTTGTAGATGTACATCCAGTGATTTAATTTCTGAGAGTTTCGATAAATGCCACACAGTTACACACAGACACAGTAAAATCCAAACTGTTATTGCTGCCTTTTGCATTTTGACAGAGGGCAGTAATAAAACAATTAAAAATAGTTTTTTGTTCCAACTAAAGCAATTTTAAATTAGTTCCTGCTTTGTAAAACCTGTCACTTTCTGTAATTAAAATTGATTTCTGTCAAAGTTCTGTTAGAGGGCCACTTTGGCAATAATAATTTTAGTGTTTTCTGAAGTCAAAATGTTGCTTTTAGGTGTTTTCTGCTTCATAAAATAGCTGGGAAACAAGAAACCGTGCACTGTCACGGAACATTTCCTGTGAAACCACTGGCCAGAGTTCATTCATTCTGAATGTACATCAAGTTCTTCCAAAGACTGGGAACAAAAAAAAGAAAAAGCAGGACTGAGTCATAACCTCTATTTATGGCTCCGTAATGTTAGGGTTGGGAATTGTTTCACTGAAGCTAATATGAATTTGTAATCAGTGGCTGAACTCGGGCCATGGTTCAAACCACTTTTCAGCCCCTCCCTACATTTTTTAAGTCTTATTTTTCTCCTCCTGCTTTATAAGATCCCACTTAAAAATATATCTTACATTTTCTTGCTTATTTATAATTTTTGAATCCTACTGTCAGTCTTTCTAACCTGCATTGTAAAAAGTGCACAGTAAATAACCTTTTCGGCCTCTGTCGTTGCTCTTGTTCAGGCCACCAAGAGCTTTGAGAGTCTGTTGATCCCTCAGCTGCCGCGCTCCCCTCCTGACGTCGAGGCCATGAGGATTTACCTCATCTTAACCGAGTACCCAGCCCTGCAGGATTCCAAGAACTACGTCCGCCTCACCATTCCCCTGGCAATGGCTATCCTCCGGCTAGACACCAACCCCAGCAAAGTATTGGGTATCATATTGCCATGCGCATACTAAAATAATTTTGATTTTGTGAGTTAGAAAATACCCGCAATGATTTGCAAATCTCAAAAATTTACATTTTTTATTCACAGTCTAACATTGTACTTTTTATTGGGTGGGGGGATTTTGATTTGATGGCATCAACAGATCTCAAAATGTTGAAACAGGGTCAATGTTTAGTTGTAAAGCAGGGCTAATCAACTAAACTGCTCTGGGGGCCACAGTTACTGCAGGTCAACAGCTGAGGGGCCGAACATCCAGCAATTAAAGTCCATCCATCMATCCATCCATTTTCTTCCGCCTATCCGGGGTCGGGTCGCGGGGGCAGCAGCTTCAGAAGGGAGGCCCAGACCTCCCTCTCCCCAGC